GTATGGGACTCCTCAGCAGTGCGCACCCACGACCCCGCACCACCCGGGGCTCGAACCCAGGACCTACTGGCTTCGCGCGCGAGCACTTAACCATTAGACCACTGAGCCGGCATCCAACGGTGTTAATGTCTAACTTCAACCAATCCACGAAGTTGCGCTACCGTACACCATTGTCTTCAGTGAGTTCCTATCTCACAACAGACCTGGTTGAACTCCACTGGTAACGACTTCTCACTAGAACTCCAGAAGTGTCTCCTGAAGTCAGTCACTAGTGAGCAGGTGATTGTTATTATCAGAATGTGTTTTGTGGAGATTTTTAGAAATTTTCACAGATTGAACTCATGAGTCAGTTGAAGCTAGACCACCATTGAAAACCTGGAAGCACTGGACGGCCGTTTCGTCCTAGTATGGGACTCCTCAGCAGTGCGCATCCACGACCCCGCACCACCCGGGGCTCGAACCCAGGACCTACTGGCTTCGCGCGCGAGCACTTAACCATTAGACCACTGAGCCGGCATCCAACGGTGTTAATGTCTAACTTCAACCAATCCACGAAGTTGCGCTACCGTACACCATTGTCTTCAGTGAGTTCCTATCTCACAACAGACCTGGTTGAACTCCACTGGTAACGACTTCTCACTAGAACTCCAGAAGTGTCTCCCGAAGTCAGTCACTAGTGAGCAGGTGATTGTTATTATCAGAATGTGTTTTGTGGAGATTTTTAGAAATTTTCACAGATTGAACTCATGAGTCAGTTGAAGCTAGACCACCATTGAAAACCTGGAAGCACTGGACGGCCGTTTCGTCCTAGTATGGGACTCCTCAGCAGTGCGCATCCACGACCCCGCACCACCCGGGGCTCGAACCCAGGACCTACTGGCTTCGCGCGCGAGCACTTAACCATTAGACCACTGAGCCGGCATCCAACGGTGTTAATATCTAACTTCAACCAATCCACGAAGTTGCGCTACCGTACACCATTGTCTTCAGTGAGTTCCTATCTCACAACAGACCTGGTTGAACTCCACTGGTAACGACTTCTCACTAGAACTCCAGAAGTGTCTCCCGAAGTCAGTCACTAGTGAGCAGGTGATTGTTATTATCAGAATGTGTTTTGTGGAGATTTTTAGAAATTTTCACAGATTGAACTCATGAGTCAGTTGAAGCTAGACCACCATTGAAAACCTGGAAGCACTGGACGGCCGTTTCGTCCTAGTATGGGACTCCTCAGCAGTGCGCATCCACGACCCCGCACCACCCGGGGCTCGAACCCAGGACCTACTGGCTTCGCGCGCGAGCACTTAACCATTAGACCACTGAGCCGGCATCCAACGGTGTTAATGTCTAACTTCAACCAATCCGGGTGGTGCGGGGTCGTGGATGCGCACTGCTGAGGAGTCCCATACTAGGACGAAACGGCCGTCCAGTGCTTCCAGGTTTTCAATGGTGGTCTAGCTTCAACTGACTCATGAGTTCAATCTGTGAAAATTTCTAAAAATCTCCACAAAACACATTCTGATAATAACAATCACCTGCTCACTAGTGACTGACTTCGGGAGACACTTCTGGAGTTCTAGTGAGAAGTCGTTACCAGTGGAGTTCAACCAGGTCTGTTGTGAGATAGGAACTCACTGAAGACAATGGTGTACGGTAGCGCAACTTCGTGGATTGGTTGAAGTTAGACATTAACACCGTTGGATGCCGGCTCAGTGGTCTAATGGTTAAGTGCTCGCGCGCGAAGCCAGTAGGTCCTGGGTTCGAGCCCCGGGTGGTGCGGGGTCGTGGATGCGCACTGCTGAGGAGTCCCATACTAGGACGAAACGGCCGTCCAGTGCTTCCAGGTTTTCAATGGTGGTCTAGCTTCAACTGACTCATGAGTTCAATCTGTGAAAATTTCTAAAAATCTCCACAAAACACATTCTGATAATAACAATCACCTGCTCACTAGTGACTGACTTCGGGAGACACTTCTGGAGTTCTAGTGAGAAGTCGTTACCAGTGGAGTTCAACCAGGTCTGTTGTGAGATAGGAACTCACTGAAGACAATGGTGTACGGTAGCGCAACTTCGTGGATTGGTTGAAGTTAGACATTAACACCGTTGGATGCCGGCTCAGTGGTCTAATGGTTAAGTGCTCGCGCGCGAAGCCAGTAGGTCCTGGGTTCGAGCCCCGGGTGGTGCGGGGTCGTGGATGCGCACTGCTGAGGAGTCCCATACTAGGACGAAACGGCCGTCCAGTGCTTCCAGGTTTTCAATGGTGGTCTAGCTTCAACTGACTCATGAGTTCAATCTGTGAAAATTTCTAAAAATCTCCACAAAACACATTCTGATAATAACAATCACCTGCTCACTAGTGACTGACTTCGGGAGACACTTCTGGAGTTCTAGTGAGAAGTCGTTACCAGTGGAGTTCAACCAGGTCTGTTGTGAGATAGGAACTCACTGAAGACAATGGTGTACGGTAGCGCAACTTCGTGGATTGGTTGAAGTTAGACATTAACACCGTTGGATGCCGGCTCAGTGGTCTAGTGGTTAAGTGCTCGCGCGCGAAGCCAGTAGGTCCTGGGTTCGAGCCCCGGGTGGTGCGGGGTCGTGGATGCGCACTGCTGAGGAGTCCCATACCAGGACGAAACGGCCGTCCAGTGCTTCCAGGTTTTCAATGGTGGTCTAGCTTCAACTGACTCATGATTTCAATCTGTGAAAATTTCTAAAAATCTCCACAAAACACATTCTGATAATAATAATAATAATCACCTGCTCACTAGTGACTGACTTCAGGAGACACTTCTGGAGTTCTAGTGAGAAGTCGTTACCAGTGGAGTTCAACCAGGTCTGTTGTGAGATAGGAACTCACTGAAGACAATGGTGTACGGTAGCGCAACTTCGTGGATTGGTTGAAGTTAGACATTAACACCGTTGGATGCCGGCTCAGTGGTCTAATGGTTAAGTGCTCGCGCGCGAAGCCAGTAGGTCCTGGGTTCGAGCCCCGGGTGGTGCGGGGTCGTGGATGCGCACTGCTGAGGAGTCCCATACTAGGACGAAACGGCCGTCCAGTGCTTCCAGGTTTTCAATGGTGGTCTAGCTTCAACTGACTCATGAGTTCAATCTGTGAAAATTTCTAAAAATCTCCACAAAACACATTCTGATAATAACAATCACCTGCTCACTAGTGACTGACTTCGGGAGACACTTCTGGAGTTCTAGTGAGAAGTCGTTACCAGTGGAGTTCAACCAGGTCTGTTGTGAGATAGGAACTCACTGAAGACAATGGTGTACGGTAGCGCAACTTCGTGGATTGGTTGAAGTTAGACATTAACACCGTTGGATGCCGGCTCAGTGGTCTAATGGTTAAGTGCTCGCGCGCGAAGCCAGTAGGTCCTGGGTTCGAGCCCCGGGTGGTGCGGGGTCGTGGATGCGCACTGCTGAGGAGTCCCATACTAGGACGAAACGGCCGTCCAGTGCTTCCAGGTTTTCAATGGTGGTCTAGCTTCAACTGACTCATGAGTTCAATCTGTGAAAATTTCTAAAAATCTCCACAAAACACATTCTGATAATAACAATCACCTGCTCACTAGTGACTGACTTCGGGAGACACTTCTGGAGTTCTAGTGAGAAGTCGTTACCAGTGGAGTTCAACCAGGTCTGTTGTGAGATAGGAACTCACTGAAGACAATGGTGTACGGTAGCGCAACTTCGTGGATTGGTTGAAGTTAGACATTAACACCGTTGGATGCCGGCTCAGTGGTCTAATGGTTAAGTGCTCGCGCGCGAAGCCAGTAGGTCCTGGGTTCGAGCCCCGGGTGGTGCGGGGTCGTGGATGCGCACTGCTGAGGAGTCCCATACTAGGACGAAACGGCCGTCCAGTGCTTCCAGGTTTTCAATGGTGGTCTAGCTTCAACTGACTCATGAGTTCAATCTGTGAAAATTTCTAAAAATCTCCACAAAACACATTCTGATAATATTTCCTTCATTATTTACCTATGTAATGTCTGGATATGAAAATTTATATTGAGATCATGAACTGATTAATGTTAGATCACCATTAAAAACCTGGGATCATTGGAGGGCCGTTTCGTCCTATTGTGGGACACCACAGCAGTGCGCATCCATGATCCACTCCATACTGATGAAAATTAATAATTTTATATTTTGATCAAAGAAACTTTAAGGAAACTTATAAAGTTAAAATTGAGCAGAAAAACTCGTTGAAATGTGAAATATTCCGAATGTACAATATTTAATCATGATAGTAAACACTTTCTTACACTACAACATATAAAATATCATATGAATACATAATATAAGTGTGTTGATATGTAAAAGATTCGGAATAAACATTTTTTAAAATATATTGGTTAACATTTGTATGTATTAGTGTAGTGAACGAAAACACAGGTGGGGAGAACCAAATCTTGGTAAAATCTGAAAACTATACAGTGAATATTTCATTTGGAAAATATCAGTTAATCGTCTAAGACTTTATTATTTCTTCATTTTCACACCAATCATTCTCTGTTCTCATTTTCTTTTCTTCGATATTCTTAACCTTCTGCCTCCAGGTATTTGACTTTCGATTGATGCTACATACTACTAATATCTGTCGATATCAGTAGCACACACCACATTATTACTGTACTAAAATAAAAATTATTTTTGCTTATTTGTACTGCATTACAATAATACTCCCAAGTAACAATCTTTTATGCATCATGTGAATCGCTGTTATTTTTGTCTATTATGTTGTTATTTGCTGGTGCAGAATATCAAAATAATCGTATGTTCGTCATTAAGTGAACTTTTTCACTTGGAAAATGGTCAGATGTATGAAGAAACATTATTTATTAAAACGGTATGATATAATAACCATTTGGTCAAACATTTTACAGTTTAACTTTCAATTAACTCCGTTCCGCTGATAGTAATTTTCAGTCATTAAAATGTAGATAAAAAATGATATCAGTATACTTACATTTGATTTTTTGTACTGTAACAACCATCCAGCTCAGAGAACAAAACTCCATCAAAATCATCCACCTGAGCTACAAATCATCTCCACCATCTCACAACTCATTCAAGTTAGTTTACTCAATTTCTAGATGTGTATGCACTAACATATCTCTGCTTGATGGAAGCTAATCGATATTTAATAAATAATGCATGGTAATTTATGACAATTTTGATAATTGGGATCTTTATTATGTACCTTATATTTAAATTTCGGTGTTTCAGTATATTAATATAGTTCAAACAATTAAGTTCTTTATGGTAGTTTGACGAAAGTACACTGTTCATCAGATGGAGCGAATATGACAGCAGCCGTATCGTGATAAAATTCCCTCATGTTTAACGCACTAGTACTGCTTATTGATGTATAAATATTTTTCAAATACTTATGACACCGCCATTTTTGAGATTTTTATCTGCTATCAAAAGATTCAACCAAATTCCCCAAATGGTTTCTTTGATTTGTGCCAATATTATCTCGATTCGTTAATCTTGATATTTACTTTAAATATAATTGGGAGCAACATAGGGTGATGAACAGAGTAATAAACGTGATGTCAGGTAATTCAAACAGTTATTTCATTACGAAAATAACAACACACCTTTTCAAGGACTTTCAAAAGAGTTCTTCGATTGTACGAAATAAAAATTTTATTCTCAGTTAATCAAATCTGTTCTACTAGTGGTTAGAAAAAACCATGTTTACATCTATGTCAAATTTCAATTTTTAAATAGCATCAAAATGTTGTCTATTAAAGTATATAATGTTCGATAGTCACTTATCTTACCTGAAGAAGTAATTCTGCTTTATGTCTTGATATAGCTTCTTTTTCGTTTGTTAGTCTCATGATTAAGGCTTCCTGACGTTCAGAATCTCTGCGGAATGTTGATACGTCTTCCATTAAAGATGCCTTTTGTCTCTGAGCCTCAGATAATGATTCTGTAAGTGTCATCCTTTCTCGAGCCAAGTCACCCAATTCAGCTTCTAGTCGTGATCTAGCTGTCTCGGCGCGCATTGTAGATTCTCGTGCTTGTTCTAATTCAGATTGTGTTAAGGATTTTTCAGAATATAATTTTTCTATTTCATCTCTTTGTTCTTGTAATTCTACCCGAAGATTGGCTCTTTCTTCGGCTAAACGAGATTCTTTAGCATGTGTTAAAGAGATTTGATGGGTTAATTGCTCAGCATCATGCTCTTGTGACTCAAGGACTGTTTCTAGTCTAGCGATTCTTGATTTATACTGGTTTTCTCTATTATGCGCCTTAAATAAATAAACAATATATATATATATATATAGAAACGAAGTATGTATTATAAATTAATGTATAATATAAGCTTGGAACTTAGATGTAATTAAGAATCAAGTATTGTTCATGCAAACGTTGTAAAGTTATAATATCAATGAAACCGATCCTATCTTCGTCAAAGATTAGAGACTAGTGTATTCTTAGAAGAAAATTTAGATTCACTGGTTTCGAATATGTTTGATGAAAGAAACATAATATAACAAATGCTAATAAGATCTTATATGAGATTTTTAATCACATCCAGTTGTTTACGTTAAATGAGTCAATATGTTGCAGCAAACACTATCAAAATCTAATAATCAAAAGTTAAATCAATTTGACAGTGCTATCGGAATGTGTTCTTTATCACTTTGAAATTACTCAACTATGAAAGTATTAACAAACCATTTTTTCAAATGATCATAACTAATGGTTTATCATTTGTTCTAGTCATCATGAAATTCGTTTACATTAATGATCCATTTCTTCACAGTGACTAAAATAAATAATTTGATAATATATTCTTCTTTTAAATAGTTGAGGTCATGATTCAATTGAAGCTGCTGAAGAGTCCTCTTCTGATTTTAATATAATCTTTGTTGACAAAAATGCTTTGGATTTTATTCGTTCACACTTTCCGTAATTTAATTGTTTACTGTTTTATATAAAAACTGAAGGTTTATTACTCATATGATCGATCGAATGCTGAAGATTTTTAAATCATTAGAAAAAAGACTCTGAGCATTACATTCTGATTCACAGGAATTTTTCAACTAATATCAATTCATGAAATGAAAAAAACTTTCACAGTATAAGATGGTGGTTGGAGGTAGTCAACAGGAAACCCTGGACCCGGGCATCGTCTTATTTGGCACTCGTCAGCAAGGTGTACCTGTAATCTTGAGGGAACTGTTGCTCCCTGACGGAATCAATGCTGTGTCACCCAGCTTCACAGTCAAAGACATTACTACTAGGCTATCCGGGCCGCCACTGACCTCCTGTAGGACTGAGATGCATTTACGATTGATTGATCATTGTGTAATGATCGAATGCTATCGACCAAGTTGCACTAAGAAAGACCTAACACACATGACATTGATCACCACCCAATGATCAATCAATTTTGAAACTTCACAGTGATTAGACAGGGAAAGTACTGATTATAGTTATTTTACTAATTAAAGACCAGATATACTAGTGAAAAATATTTTCCCTTTAAGAACTAGAACATCTAAAATATTAAATCAATGATAACGATTTTATCTAGTTATTAAAATGGTTATTCCTATTATTAATACTGATGAAAAGATCAATTGTTAGAAAACAGAATAGTACAACGGACAAATAACTCGAAATTTATTGTTATTTAGTAGTCAGTGAACGAAAATATATTCATCTGGAGCTCATAAGAAGATAAATTGAGTATATTTGAGTAATCTTCTGTACTTGAAAATTTTGACGATCTGTATACCGATGATGTGTAAATGATAACTTGAGTTAAATAGAAAAATAGGTTTAGGTAGGCGTTAACGTATTAATAATCATTTTACTTATCTAGTACTTTGCATATTCAAAATACTCGCTTATTTATATTTTCTCAACCAACAAAGACTCTGGGATTAGATACTATTTATAAATCTATAAAATAGATTCAATGTGAGATTCAGTAGATTTATCTATATAAAAAACTTACGTGGAATTCCGCATATTATTTAACATCAGTGTCGTATTTTACAAACATAGGATAATACCCAAGTAACAGTGAAGTTCATTGTTAATGCTGCTACCATCCCTTATGTTCGAGTAAAAGATCATAAGACCAAAACTGACAGATCATTATTATTATAGTATTGACTGACTCTTACAAATTTATATATTACTAAATATTTAGTCTGGGTGCCAACTGAAATCTGTTTGCCAAAACTTTACATTTAGCAAATAGATGTGTGCTATTGATTGTTTGTCAAGTTTTTGCAATTAATTTGATGAAATAAATCATCAATTGAACTCATGATTAAAACGTTATATTACATCATCCATGTTCAGTTTACTTTGAATGACAAATGTTGAAATATTTCATATGAGTTTCCTTTTCATTACTTTTTACCATTTGATAGAAATTTCTGTCTATACTATACTATCCTTTAAGAGATCCACATTCTAACACATATTGTTACTTAATCTCTCGAAAAAATATTGATCCGAGTGGCATGCATTCATCTGACACTTTGTAAAGTTGTGTTTAATTAATTTAAGGAAAAGAATGTAGAAAACAAAGCTCGGTTTAAAACTATACATTGTTTTACTGAGTTGACTTTTCGATACATCGATTATATCTGGACTTAATAAAAGAGTTAGTAAATAACTTATTAGTTTTCAAGTTTTTCAACACTATACGTATGTTTGAATATGCTTTACATTTTCATTGATAGTATAGCATGATAGCAACTTCAACAAGTAGTCTACAAACACAAACTTCGAATGTATGATCAAGTTAAATAACTTTTAATAAAGAAAATAATTAAGTTTATTTGGTTACTTGGTTGAGGTCTTCATTTAATTCGTCAATTTTAGCTTGAATTTTACCAGCCGCTGTAATTGCGTCATTTTTTTCCTGGTCTAATATTTCTTTTTCTAATTCAACACGTCTTAACTGTTCACGGATTGTAGCCAATTCTTCTCGAAAGTTTACAGCACGTTGTTCTGTACTACCTAATGTTTTTTGTATAGCATCTAATTCACGAAGCTTGATTAAGATTAAAAATTAAATACCAAACATTGATTAAAACAACCGTGATATTCTGTAGGAGTATTGATAAATAAAAATTATTAAGGACGCAATCTATCAAACCAATATTAAAAAGTAGTACAATTACTAAAAAAACGTTTTTCCTATTGCAAATAAAGGGAAATGGCTGGAGTTTTTCATATATTATCAAACTCTATCGCACTCAGGTGTAAGGTTATCCATCCTTTTCTTAACATTCAACAAAAGTGCTATATCTAGTATTACCAAGTATTTTTCCCTTTTATTTAGTGGGTAAGTGCTGCATATTGAAATGTGATTTTCACTGAGAGTTCCATTTTAAACATACAAATCTGTCTACATCTATCCTCTATGAACACGCCGAATAAAATAAACAAATACGGGGAAAGTTAGAGCTTGAAAAGAAGTCCATTGTGAAAGGAGTGCCCTTATATGCAGCGATTGCTCACTAAATGAATGTGAAAATGACCAAGAATTCTTGATACTTCAGATGCAATGAACATTAAAAAACAGATGCGTTATAAATTCATGTTCATGTATCCTATTTCCTGCTCAGTAGAAAATAGAGCCCTAACTATTTATCTAACATGATTCATTTGTAAAAATATTCACAAACTTAACTCTGTTCACATCTTGCATCATCAACAAATATACAAATATTTTAACTATGCTCTTCTATATTACAGATATTAAATTTCCCTAAGTCGTATATACGGAAATACATACAAGTAAGTCTCTACAGAACCGTCTTGACCTAAATAACATGATATTATTATGATCAGATCTTTTGATAGTACCAAAAATATTCTACATTATTTCCTTCTTACTATTTAAGTTTGTATTAATTTAATTTGGTGATTTATTTTCTGAAGAAGCAACTTATACTAAGTTGAGAAACACCAGAAATTCAGTTTTCTACTAATTGAGATTTTACAAAAATTTCATTAATTCTGTTATTTGTCATAAGTTTTATGTTTTATTTGAAATTAATCCTTAAATCGTTTCGATAATGGTTATGTATCATCTATTCATGAAGGATAAACACATCGCTTATAAGTCAAAAGGTTTGTTTTGAATATTTTCAAATTTTCATTCAAACAAATCACTGATAATTGCATAACAATAAACTTTTAGTAAGTGAATATTTTGTTAAAAGTAAGCGACTGAGTGTTTGCTAAGTTGATTGAATTGAGTTCAGTGATTCTGTCAACATGGTTTAAACACTGCACATTTATCTGGTATTCGAATTACTTACATAATACAACATTTGGAAGGATATTCAAACAAATTTATTGTTGTTGAATTACCTTAGTAATTGTACAGATGGTTAATTTTACTTTAAAACATGTTTGTTTGAAGTTGTTGTCATTAAACTTGATGAACTGCCCCTACTTCATGTAAAGTTGCAGAGATAGGACAGGATAGACGATTTCAGACTGAACATTGAAAGGAAACTCGTTTAATTAAATAGTTGGTGACTACACATTGTCGATAAACTAATAGTTAAAGTAAACTATAATGGTTTGGTTAAAGATATCACTCATAAATATTATGTGGGAACTTGAAATCGACGACTTGAATGCCTCCTCATAGATTGTGTTGAATAAACAAAACCCATCGTATATTACATGCTTGAAGTTGGTTGATGCAAATTGGAAAGTTTGAAAAACTCATCATTCAAAAAAATTATATATATGATGAGATTTGTCAATGATTGATGGTGATGGCAACACTTATATCGAAGGTCATCATTATTATTGAACATTAATCCTAATTTCTTAAGTTATTGATTTATGTAGATGTTTGACAGCTCAATGGATAACGCGTTGGGAGCTTGAAGCGAAAGTGACTGGGTTCAAATCTCAGCGTGAACATCAGCATACCAAGATATCCATCCAACGAGTCTCAAACAGAACAAAATGCTCGTTCTGTATTGCACTGCTAGCCATTACCAATATATTCTAAATTATCTAAACTAAATTTTCATTACAATTTTGGTAAGGAGAATACACCTAATCAAGTAACTATACATTGATTCAAACTGATAACCAAAATCCACCTGTTCTAAATAACTCGTGACATAGTGGCGCTATCGAGGCAATCGACATAAGATGTACATGTATCAACAAAGACTGATCGAAATTCAGTTTCCGGACAACCGAAACCCTTCCTAATAATGATGTAATTTTGATGCATTTTATTACTCCTTCTTCACTTAAAATCTGACATTTTAAGCATTTTTTAAAAAGTAATACAGTGAATATCTAGTCTCTTGTATCAGTCCATTGCACAGATTGCTTTCCATTTATTTAGTAGAAGAATATACAAACAGCTTCTTATTCCAGTGTTTATATGTGAATATTACAGTGTACTTGATAAAGATATTTGAAATATTTCCTTAATTCTTTTCCGAAACTATAATTTGAAATGAGTGCAAGAAAACTGTTTTAAAAAGGAATTAACAAACTTACTGTACGACCTTGTTCAGTTTGTAAATTATCACGTTCTGAGATTGCTTCATCGCGTTGTTTTCGCATATCATGCAAAGATGTTTTAAGGCGATCTAATTCACTTTCAATTTCTCGTACATGTTCATTTAGATTTTGTCTTGCTGATTCACTCATTTCATGCTCCTCTTTGGTTAAACTAAAGGAAAGAAATCCTAAATGTCATGTTCAAAATCCAATTTACTAAAAATACATTTTCAAAATTGAAATAATTTGCAACATTGATAATAGTTTGATTAGTTTCTATATAAATATACATTGACCTATTCTAATATTTAAAAAGATATGTGTTCTAGAGGGGTATATTTTATTGAGATCATGAACCGATTGATGTTAGACCACCATAGAAAACCTGGAATCCGTCCATGATCCTAATCTAAAACTTAAGAATCTCCACAACCCCATACTGATAATTGCCACGTGTTCACTAGTGTCTAGCTTCCTTGGAAAATTCTCAAATTTCTAGTGAGACACCGTGACCAGTGGAGCTAATCCATGTCAGGTAGAGACAGATATCTACCTCTGTAAAATAGAAAATGGTCGTGCAATATCGTAGGTTGGTTGAGGTTAGACATGAATACCGTTGGACGCCGGCTCAGTGGTCTAGAGCTTAAGCGTCCGCGCGTTAGGCCAAATTTCCTGGATTCGATTCCTGCGAGTGGAATCGTGGATGCGCACTGCTGAGGAGTTCTACAATAGGACGAGACGGCCGTACAGTGCTTCCAGGTTTTCAATAGTGGTCTAACATTAATCGGTTCATGATCTCAATCAAAAACTTAAAAATCTCCACAATCCTATACTGATAGTATATTTCAGCAGAAAAAATTTTATAATCCTATATAAGTTAGTGAATTCCAGAATCAAAGATATAGAAAATTATTATATGAAGTTTAGAAAAATCAAGTAACACCGAATGTCATTATACAATAGGTTATTTTAAAAGTAGGTAAGTAGTAGTGTACACAGTCTATTCTACATAGAATTATAGACACAGAGGATGAGTATTTTGTAGAACCATGTTGATAATTAAGGACAATGAAATAAACAGCGTTTAAATGTGATGCAGATTTTTTTCTGTCGGTGTTTAACAACTCTCTTATTGAATTCATATTTCGGGGACTTGTTTCATCTAAACCATACAATAACAAATGATTTATTGTTATGAAAAGGGCAACTTTCATTTAAGTTGTTGAATGTTAAATGAATTAACAGAAATTTACATCAATTACATTGAATTATTATTGAATTTCTAGTATCTATTTGACAAATCTGTTACATAGACAGATATTTCGTTACTAATCTTATCAAAATACTCTATAAATCATGCTATAACACAAGTAACTGTGATTTACAACAGCAAAAGTAACTATATGTTCACTAATGACTGAATAAAGTAAGGAATTCCCCGAAGTTCTAGTATAAAATTGTAAAGTCAGTCATATGACGACTGGAGCGACGATTCACCCTTGTGATTGGATGATCAGCATGCTATATCGAAAACGGAGCAAATTTGGAACATGGGTAATTGAATGATATCTAGAAAGTTCAACGGTATCTTAGTCACTTTGACGTAAGAACGTCCCGAGTTAGATACCATGTGTGGTTGTGTGTCTGCAGAATGATGAAAAATTCAAAGTAGAGTAATGCCACTGATTAGTTGTACTTGGTTTCCAATAGCTCTTGAGGTGACAATATCTCATGATGAAAATTACGTTCAAATTCATTATGAGTATTGTTTAAGGTATACACTATTACTAGTATTTGTAGTATAGATAGGGAAGGAAAGAAAACTTGGTTAATTATCATGTTACCTTAAACTTTGTTTAATTCTATCTCTTTCTCTAGATAATTTGTCCACTTCCAAACTTTGTACTTCTAATTCTTCTCTTAACCGTGCCAACTGTTCAGACAGACGTTTTCTTTCCACATCTGACTCTTCGCCGCGACGTGTAAGATTATTTAATTGCTCTTTCAATCCAGAACTTCGAAGTCTAAGACGATGAACCTATAAAAGTGGGTTCAAGAAGTAAAAGATGAAATAAATGTCATCAGAAAATTGTTGCATATCATCCAAATAAGTTATCCATTCAACCCCTACTTAATTGTTCTGGAACTCAGTGTATATAAGCATGTCCTTTACGTAGATTTACTATAAATACAATGTGCAAATTCGTTGCTTTAGCTGTACAGAATATGGAACAAAGTATGTGGTGAACTGTGCACCCGCTAACTAAAGAGCATGGATAAAATTCTCAGAGTTATTCCAATTTTAATGTATCAGTTTCCGAATAAGAAGGTAACTAGTCATTTACACAGTACTATTTACAGTCACAATAATGGTGAGGCGAGTGATGGTAGTTAAATTAATTATGAAATTACGTTCACAATCCTAAGACATTTACTACTAAATTCATATTTCAAAAACTCTTTGAAATCGTAAGCGAGTCCTATTTACCACAGTGTATGTATATAAATCTTTAGGTAATGCAAGATCTGTCAAGTTTTTCTGTGTTACCAAGTACAATGAACACTTCCGTAACTCTTTACTCTTCTGCCTTTAGTCGTTTTTGTTATTTCACTGTCAGTGATTTTTCAGTATTGGTTTCAGAGTTGTATTTCTAGACTAACTATAAACAAAATCAGATTCTGACAAGTAGCTAAATAAAAAAATGATAACTAGAAGGCCTGAATACAACATATTTAGCTTCATCAAACATATAGAGTATACTCTGCCTAGAATTTTAAAACACATTCATTGCCCAAAAGGATTCAGTTGTGTTTTAAACTCATGGGAGTGTTTTTAAATCCCCTTGTAGTTTTGTTTGATTTGTTAGAGAATATTGCTCCAATCTACATAGTGTTTCATCAATTATTTACGTCAAATTTCCTCAACTGGATTTTAATTACAGCGTTAGAACTTGAACATTACTGACTACTAGGAGCTATTGAAATATTTGATGGGTATTTAAGAAACCATATAAAAATGCAGTTTACTTAGAGTTTTAAAGGTAATTACATTCGATCCCCATGATTGCTATGATAAGCGATTTTAAGAACAGATGTTATGTGAATGTAATGATTAGTGAGAGTTTTGCAAATCTTAAATTATAATAAACCGGTTGTTACTATTCTCATATGGTTTGAATTATTATCTAAAACTTTCCGCTTACTTATGTTATGTAAAGTAGTAAAAGTCGTATTATAGAAATGTTGAAAATTTCTAACATGGTTTACATGCTTGGAATTTTGGTTTACAGACTTGAAATAAACATTTAAATGCAGGCTTTCAGATTATTAAACAGGCACATAGCATATGTAGTTAGATTTAAAATTTATGGTGTCTCAATATGTTTTCAGCCTTAAACTCTGATCCATGAAATAAATGGATTATGAAACAGAGGAGACGAACTCAGAACATCACGATGAGAATAATTTCTTAAAGAAACAGATTTATCCTGAGTTCATGCTTAAACGATTAATTTTAACTCTTATAGTAGGTAATGGATTAATAACTAATCAAGATAGAAAAATAAAATGTAGGACACTTATTGTTATGACTTGTGAACCTGCGTGCCCTGTATATTGGATAACGCAACGCCTATTTGAGAGCAGAGAATTACCGATCGGACCAAAGACGCGTAAAACACGTGAGAACAGCCGAGAGTCCTGATTAGTCTTGTTTTCCTGTCTAGCCCAGCCAGTTTAGCCCAGAACGCAAGTCTCAGCCTCTGAGATATGAATCATTTATTTCAAACTTATGGGGTTTATATACTAATCAAACAGACCACACTGTACCATAAAATAGAAAATAACATTTGTACAATATTTAGCCAACAGGAAAATGACACGTGAAATAAATATTGCCCAATAGGAAAATAATATCATCTCAGGTCCAAAGATAGCATTAGACTTAACAGAATAATTTTTGGGATATTTTTCTGAATATCCCAACACTTCTTGATAATAGGAAGATTAGATGTTGATTAGCATTATAAATAAAAAAAAAGAATTTATCACACTATCAGTGCCTTAATATTTCGACTATTCGTACCTTCTAATTTAGGTCAGTCTGTGTCGACAGGATTAATTAGGATGCTTCGAGTTGCACTAAAAACTGGCATTCAGATTTAACTCGTTCTTTCTTTATAAGCTGAATGGTAAGACACATTAATGAGAAAGGAGAATAAAGAAGGAAACTGAATCACAGTGTACAAATTCAAGTTTTGACTTGTACTAGCAAAAAGGATAGAGAGAAAAAAATCAAATAATTGAATTTGTTGTTGAGATGAAGATAAACTATGGCATGAAGGGAGGCAGAATGAAAAATTACTGAGTAGTCAAAATGCTTACAATTTAAAAATGTAAACATATGAACATTTCAGTGACAGCAAATTGCCCTCCTATAACAATCGATTACAAGTATCATTAGTATGCCATTTTGGTAACCTACATTGATTCACAAAGCCCAAATTAACAGTCAGAAACTGATTATATAGATTTGATTTTTTTTGGTCATCTCTAACTTTCGATTCATCTATTATTACTTTTGACAGAGTAAAAAATAAAGGCAAATGTTAAATTCGCATCCTTAAAACATACACAAGTTACCATTCACATCAATTTTGAGTACAATATAGTTACTAGATCAATCAACGAAAAGCCAAACGCTGCACCAGCCTGGACGTAATATTTAGCTAAACTGATTAGTTTATGTAGAACACAATATTTGTTAG